GGGGCCGCCCCTGCCGCGCTGCGGGGCCGAGCGGGGGCTGCGGGCATTAATACGCTGCGCAGCAAACTCCCGTCCCGGTTTTTGGCGTTACCGTGTTCTTGCACAGGCCGGCGAAGAGCGCGGCCGCTCCCGTGGGACCCGCCGAGCCGGGGTTCCGTACGGCCGTTCCTGCGGCGTGGAGCACGCGGTGCCACCTCTGATTCACTCCCACAGCGCCGGGATCCCGCGCTCCTGGCACCCTTCCCTGCCTCCTCCTCGCTTATCTCGTTCTTACTCTTAAGCAGAATCACCCTTCAGAAGCGACGGCGCAGTCCAGCCAGGTTTCCCGACTTTCCAAAACCCAGCAAACCTCTGTCTTTTGGAAAACAGGCTGAACTCGTTAATCCAAGTTTAGAGAGTGATTTACCGAGCGTTTAATAATTCTGTTCTCTGGTTGAAGAGAAGAATTCATCAACTTAATTTTGACATTACATCACCTTATATCTGTTGTTCACTTTCTGCTATAAGCTAGCTCTTGCTGAGCTGTCTTGGTGGCGATTTTATTTCATTTAATCAATAAGTATCGATCAGGCTGGCCATACCTGGCTGCCGCGGTGTCATCTTGAAACGTCAGATGGCCTCCCCGAATGCTCTGTTCATCATGCTGCTTTGTTACTGAGATTTTCTTGGACTTGGGACATCTCTATTTCTCAGGTCTGTCTTGGTATCTCTACCAGAGCTGCTTGGATTGATCAGATACGACTACTCTTACAGAAATAAATTGATTTGACTTGTATTTTTGTGCTTCCAGGTCTAGTGCTTGTTTTACCTATGTGTCTTGCTAGGGCATAGGTCCTGAACAGATGGTTACAGTACCCTTGCTTTCATTGCATCCAGATCCTACTTTTTCTTTGAGGTTCTTCAACAGTTATTGGCATCTGGCAAATCTTGCTGGGGTGTAAAACCATCACTACTTGCAGCTAACTTCCTTCCACCCCCTTATGGGAGACTAACGTAGATGCAAGGGAAAAGAAGGAGCCATGGCTTCAGCTGCCCTACGAGACCTCAATCTTTGTGACAGAGGAGGACTCGTGGTTTGTGCTGACTCTGCAGTGGAGGTAGCCACCCTGGCAGGGAACAGGAGATAACTAGCCCCAGCAAACCCTTTGAGGGTATCTGTGACGTCCCTCGTTTTCATGGTGGTAGCTGTTGATGCAGTTCATGTTTGGTTCCACGTTGCTCCCTTTTGATACTGGTGTCTGAAGTATCTCACGTGCCGTACCACGTGACCTGGGGGAGTTCTGGGAGTTGTGGCTTAGGTCTGTTCTTCTCTTCGGTTCTTCGTAACCTGATGTCTGGATCTAAAACCCATTTAAGTTTCCTGATTCTGTTTTGAGAGGTGCTCTAATCAAATACAGATGTCTCTGCAGAAGAGATCCTCGATGGTGATCTTAAAGTACTTGGATGTAGATGTTAAGATAGTCGTTCTTTTATTCAAAACGAGCATATGCTAAGAAGTTTTTAACAGTATTCTGCTTCAGAAAGTGAAAATACTAGTGTCTTGACTGCCTTGGAACCTCAATATTACACCTTCAGTGTAATATTTTATTACAGGTTTTTTCTTTAGAAAACAGGTTTCTCTTTCAAAAACATCATGTGCTATCGCGATGATAAAGCCTTGCTGATCACTTGCTTGATGTTCCCTCCCTACATGCTACATGGACAGTCTTACTGTGAATCTTGTCTTCAGAGATGTTTTCTGTAAGTGTCTTAATTCAGTGGAGGCTCTTCAGACAGCTGATGGCAGATACCTTTTCTTAGGCATTGATCTGTGGATTCTTGTCCCTCTCCGGATTTCAAGCGACATAAGCACTAATTCAAGTTCTGACTGGAGTTTAAAAAACACTCCAAATAGAACTTTCAACTCTGTTTTCTTTGGAACTGTTGTCCAGATGTCTCCAAATGAAATGCCTTCTTTATTCTGCCTTCCTTAGCGTGCCTGTGAGTGGGAGGACAGGGGCTGCAGATCTGAAAACGTCAGATGTTCTCTGTATATTATCACCCATAGGTGATGATAACTCTCCGCAGAAGCAGAGTGAATCCCTGCAGCTCTTTATTTGGGTCATCACTCCAAAGATAAACATAAGGCCACATGGGAATGTTTTATCCTGCTCGATTTCACTTAGAGAGTGTTTGTGTGGCTTGAAATTTGCTAAAACTATGTTACCTTTACGATACTCAACAGGGGTGTTGTGCCAGTGAATTTTCTTCCTAAAAAGCTAGAGATGAGATTTGGCAGGGCCTTGCAGAACCTGTAAGGTAATTCTGCAGCAGAGATGCTGCGTGACACAGCATGAAGCAGGGGTCCTGCCAGCATTGACACCCAGCTCTGCCACAGAGCTCTTCTGGTCACGCTCAAGGAAGGGACCGCGTCTCAGCCTTGCGGTTGGGTAAGATGGGCCAAAAGCCCGACCAGTGGGACTTGGAAGTTGCAGCTGGAAAACCTGGGTGGAAAGTCTGATCACCAGTATAGAGGGGGCCTGGTTCACGTCTCAGCATCTTCTTTTCAGGAGCACTTGGGTTCTGTCTTATCCGTCTGTACAAGCAGATGGTAGCTGAGGCAGAGGCAGGGTGTTGGGCAGTGTGTGGGGTGAGTTGTTGCCCACCTGCTTTTTCTGTCTGTCCTGGGTGATTAACGGGAGCAGAATAGCTTCCACAAGAGGGAGTTTCTTTTCAGAACATCCTCAGGCCTCATTTCTACAACACTTG